AGAGAGAGAGAGAGAGAGAATATTTATATCGCGAATGATGGATAGAGAAACGCTTGAGCGAGCGTTTATCATTGTTATACACGATGATGCGTGTTAAGTTGGAAAGATGGGATGGCGTGGAGTGCGCCATCCCCTGTCCAACGAAATTAATCGACGTGGCCGCTAATTAATTCGCTTATGAACAGCAATTTTTTGTCGGGCGACAGCTACCTGTTGTCTCACATCGAATTAATTAACTATCGACATCGTTGTGAGCACCGACCTTCGCCCCGTGTAATATTAATTACCATGACAGAGAGAGGGAGAGAACCCTCTGTTTCCCAAACATAATCCTCTGATAGGAATCATCGGTGTTACGCATCGACGATGATGGAAGATTAAATTTCAACCGGATATTACCGCATCTCTTCTTAACTATTCAACTCATTTTGCACGAAAAATCAATTCGAATTGAAATTTCATTCATACCTCATCATATATATATTTAAAGGAAATCAAGTTCAACCTGCGAATTTACGAATAAATTCATTTATCGAGATTTAGCGCTGGTAAAAAGAGAAAGAAAATGTTCAAAAAATGCTCTTTCTACTCGTGAAAAACAACTCGTTCAACAATTTGAAATACAACATCGTTCGAAACCTCGATGGTTTCTCATATCCTTCCTCGCAAACTTGGTGAGGAACGTCGAAACTTATCTACAGGACGGTAGAAGAGGGATCATTTTTCAAAGATTCAAATAGAAGATTTATGCTCGCTCGTCATGTCCCTGTCGACTCTTCCCTATTTTTCCACGACTCGTGGCGACGAATCTCGACAAATCCCACGTTTCCAACGTCACGGATTAAAACGAATAAAAGTATACATATATACGTCCAGATTTATCTCGATATGCATCTCGATCCTTGGAGTCTCGACGGAAAGGGCATCGATGCGGAGAGACACGTATACGCGAGCACGGGTTGGAAAATATCGCGTGGCTTTGGACGATTAATTCGAAGGAAGATGAGGAGGAGGAGGAGGGGAACCGATAAGAAAAGAGGATGCACGAGAGATTCCACCAACCGCTATCGCGGTTTTCGGTTCCATCCCTCGCCCCGTTCAACCCTCGTAGTACGAATGTCTGTCCAGGTTCTCCTCGCGGGAAGACGGTAAGTTAATTAAGCGAACGAATAACACGCGGGTCACGGACGAGTGAAAGGGGCGCGGCATTTCGTTTCGTTTCAAGAAAGGGCCACACCGGGATAAAGTACGCAAGACCTACTTTTTCCACCTCGAGCATTGAAAATTAAAATAGTAAAGTGCCGCGTTGGAGGAAAAAAAAAAAAAAGAAGTTCGTCGTTTCACCGACGCGTTTCCTCGTGCGCCTTCCTTTTCCTCCCCTCATCTCCTCTTCCTCCCGCGCTATAACGTTAATAGTCGAAGGGGTGGAGGAGAAAACGTCGGTTAACCGAGA